AACGAAAACGCTTGTTTGAAAGGAAAATTGGCTTGGTTTTTCTTAAGCGATTACCACAAAATTTGTAGAACAGTGTTTTCGATATATTTGATGCTGGCCTTCAATTTCTCGTCATCCATTGTCCATAACAGTACAATATTTAGAACGCATTGACAAGTTGAACCTTTAAAACTAGCTTACCCTTATGTAGTTATCAATTAGTTATCGACACTGCTTTTATTTCGATTAGGAAAAGTTAATTTTAAAATATCGAAAAAAATGCGGGACAAAGGCAGGACACTTGGAAAAAATCAGTACATTTTGGGGGTTTTCTGTTTTGAAAAACTACGCAGGACAGACCTTTAAATAACAGTACGGTCCTGCAAAAAACAGAACGGATGGTCACCGTATCTATATCAGATTAATTCAGTTATCAACAACTTAGGTAAATGTCTTGATTTAGCGTTTATTGATGATACTGATAAATGCACTATAATACGCGGCGCTCCTTTAGTTATACCTATAGACACTTATCACCCACCACTACGATTCATGTTATTGTCCTGAAACTAGAAAGCCGAAAGATCGGCGATATTTTTTCAAATACGCGAACTACGACAAGCTTAAAATAGCTATATCTGAAATAATCTTGCCTGAGTACGATGGGGACGTAGAGAACAGTGCCTTACACTTTAGTAAAATCTTGAATAATATATTCAGTAAACTCATCCCTCTTGTTAAAGAAAATACCGGACCTCGTAACTCTTGTGGTTTAACTCGGAGCTAAAGCATTTAAAAAATCAAAAAACTAAATCATTAAAACTTTATAAAAAATCAGGCCTGTCTTCTCACTACGTCGCGTACTCCATCCTTCGTCATAAATACAATGCCTTAAACAGAAAATGTTACAGAAGTTCCATTAATAAAATTCGCATTAACATCGTTTCTAATCCCAAGTCATTTTATCATTTTGTTAAATCACAACGTAAAATAAATGGGTTTCCGATGATGTTATTTCTAGTGATGATAATATTTTTTTTATTTATTTATTTATTTATATGATATTAGTCAAATGAACAATATATTCTTACTGACTACTGAACAATTTTACTTCAAGACTAGTTAAAGTAGCTAAGTAAGAGGGTACGGACTGTTGCAAGGGGTAGTGCCGGATCAAGATTTGGAACATTATTTAACTCTAAGAGGGCTCTTGAGAGTGGAGCAAATTTAGCGTAATTATACTTAGAAAACTCCACGTAGAACAATTGAGAATGGCGTAGGTTACGAAAAGGGACATTGAACGTTATTTTTTCTAAAAGGGTTGGGCAGTCAACGGAGCTGTTCATAATATTTGCAACAAAAGAGTAAGCGAGAAATTCAAACCTGTGATATAAGGGCTTTAAGGCCAACAGCTGACAACGAGATTCACTGATTTCAGCAAGGCATTTGATAAAGTGTCTTGTTCAACTCTAATATACAAACTTGATAATATTGGTTTCCCTCCAATCCTGCTGCGATGGCTTTCTTCTTATTTCATTGGCACGAAACAGAGGGTTATCTTTAAAAAATGTTCATCTCGGGTAATTCATGTGACGTCAGGTGTACCTCAAGCCACCTTGGCCCCCTTCTGTTTCTTTTATTCTTCAACGATCTTCCAAATATTTTGAAGTATTCGAATTGCTTAATGTACGCAGACGACGTTAAGTTATTTAAGTTCATTGGTGCTCCAGGAGATAGGGAACAATTACAGGCGGACCTTAGTAATGTGTCTAAATGGTGCGAAGCAAATTCTATGTCACTTAATTTGAAAAAGTGTAAATTTATGTGTTTTTCTAGAAGACCCTTTCAATCATATAGCTGCCGCATTTGTGAACATAGTGTTGAACAGGTAACTAATTTCATCGACCTAGGCGTAACCATGGGCCCTAAGCTTGAATTCAAGTCCCATGTAAACTCTTGTGTTAATAGAGCCAAGGGCGCCTTGGCTTTCATCAAACGTTGGGCTAAAGAATTCAGAGATCCTTATGTCACGACAGCTCTCTTCACCTCCCTAGGAAGGCCTATCTTAGAATACGTCGTATGGAACCCTAGATATCAAACGCATTCTGACAGACTCGAGTCGCTACAGAAACCATTTTTATTATTCACATTAAACAATTTGCCTTGGGATTCGACATTAAATCTCCCACCGTACAAAAGCCGCTTGAAACTCATAAATTTGCCAACGCTTCACAGCCGTAGAGAGATGCTCGGGGTTTTGTTCATGATTAAGATCTTGAACGGGTTGGTCAATAGTCCCTATCTACTGAACCAGATCACGTTTTGTATTCCTTCTAGACCTTCTAGACATTACAAGCCCATTAAGCTAACTATTTGGAGAACAAATTTTGAAATGCATGACGCTTTTCGTTGCCTATGCCAGGACTTTAATAAGCATTACGACTATTTTGACACCTCCGACTCATTTTTTACCATTAAGAAAACCTTACTTGAGATTTTGAAAAAAATAACAAGTAAACCCTTACACTGCACTTTATTCGTTCAGCTGGTGAACTGTATTTCTGTTCAGTTTATGAGGTAAGCGTGGTTGACTCGCGCACTTTCCCAACTGCGCCCGACTTTGTTGAGAATTTCTAAATTAAACTGTGAAATGCATGATGCTTTACGATGTTCATGCCAAGATTTTAACAAACTTTATGATGGCTTCGACATATGAGTAGTCCACTTGCAAACAGCGTTATGTGATTTTATAATAGTAAGCCATAAATTAAAAAAAAAAACGTCTATAACAACAAGTAAAATCCAAATTGTATCTTTTTCTTTATTATCTGAAAATTTGGACAAAAAAGAGCCTAAAAAACAAAATCGCAGTATGGTAGTTTTTGCAAATTTTATATATAAAAAATTAATATAGCGAGTTTGGAAACAGTAACCTTTACATAGCTAGCTTTTTATAGCTTTTCGCGTTCTCTCTTCCATGAAGATTGGTCTGCTTCTTTTTTACGACGTCTTCCAATAGACACCGAAACTACCACGTTTTCTTGCAGTGTTCTAAGTTCATCAGAAGATGAAGACTTTTTAACTTCTAGCGACTTTTGAAAGTGTATTTATACATACAGTAAGTATTATAGCGGCTTTTGCTAGAATGGCTAACATATGATGCTATTTTTTTTTCAGAACATTAAGGATTTCGCACTGTATTGTTAGTGGACATGAAACTACTTTAAATACTAGTACGTTAACCACCAAAAACTGAAAATCGAAAAAATTTTACATAGAGCACTTTGCAAGTGGACTACTCATATCTGAATCGCTTTTTTGTAACTAAATAAATTAATATCTTTAACCCGGAACTATTAATTACAAAATATTTATAACTGCTTGGTACAATTGTAATCGGCTTCGTATATTTTCGCGACCGCGTAAGACAATGCGAGCATGGATCGGAAACTCGACCTTTCCGACCATGATCAACAGCTTGTCCACAGCGCGGAGCGGAACCTAGGGCTTTCCACCTGCCACATATTTATGGTAATGACTTCGGGAACATGGATCGGAAACTCGTTCTTTCCGACCATGATCAACAGCTTGTCCACAGCGCGGAGCGGAAACTAGAGCTTTCCGCCTGCCACACATACAAAGTAATGCCTTCAGGAACATTGATCGGAAACTCGACTTTTTTGACCATGATCAACAGCTTGTCCACAGCGCGGAGCGAAAACTAGAGCTTTCCGCCCGCCGCACTCAAAAGTAGACTTGAGACTTGGCCTCGCCAGCTCCTAAACCTGCTATTTTATATTGATTATTAAAAATTAATATGGGTGTCTCCTGAAAAGTGTCAACCAAGACCAAAAAAAAAATTGAATTTTGCCTGGACAAAGTTTATAGATGCCAATCGATAACTACATATATTGTCAAATATTATGTTACCAGGCTAGTCTGATCTATGTTTTTAGTGCGAATAAAACTACATTATTCCACTTTCTGGCCCAACGTTTCGCTAAAACATTTTTAGCATCTTCAGGGGCAATCCAGATTTATTAAATCTGCCACAAACCAAAAATACAAAGGCACATTGTAATCAAAAATTAATGAATATAGCATACAAACATACATATACATATATGGAATTAAAAATTATA